AGCGCAGCTGTGGAAGCTGGCCACTTGCAGCAGCACAGGGTCTTTACTGCAACCAGCGCAGTGTTGAAAGCTGCCCCCTTGCGGCAACACAGGCTCGTTAGACCCTGGCCAAAAAAAACAGAAGCAAAGGCAAAAGCAGAACGCCATAAAACAGAAGCACAAGTAGAAGCAAAAAGCAAAAGCAGAAGCAAAAAGCAACTGCAGAAGGAAAAGCAAAAAAACAAAGCAACCGCAAAAGGAAAAGCAAAAAGCAGAAGCAAAAGCAAATGCAAAAAGCAAAAAGCAGAAGCAAAAGCAGAAGCAAAAAGCAAAAGCAGAAGCAAAAGCAAATGCAAAAGCAGATGCAGAAGCAAAAGCAAAAAGCAAAAAGCAACAGCAAAGGGCAAGAGCAAAAGCAGAAGCAAAAAGCAAAAGCAAACAAAGCCAAATGCAAAAGTAGTAGGGGAAAAAATATGAAAAAAATTCCCAGAAAAAAATTGAAAAAAATTCCCAGAAAAATAGGGGTTCCTTCTTCGGCGTTCGGTTCTCCGCGCGCGCGTCACCGGCGCCGCAAGTGAGACAGGTGGCCAAATGGTGGAGGACTTCTTGGGATGCCCTCCGGCCAGTAGTACCATGTGTGCATCTTCCGGCACCGTCTGCTCAGGCAAGTAGAACTGAACATCCTCAGGCGAGGAACGCCGGATGCACCGGGATGCACCGAGGGTTCTGAAGACTTGAGTGGCTGTAAAGTATACGCAAACACCTAAAATAGACAACCAGTTTCTTCAAAGTGACCTTTTTGGAGTCTCTAAGTCTCTCTAAGTGACCTTTTACAGGCCTGTTTGTGACCTCAAGCCCAGGAACATCATGCCACAAACATATATGTACAATATGTGTGTGTGTGTGGGTTCCCACATGTGCCCACCCCGCATGCACCCTGACACCAAGAGCGGTGACAGGAGCACACGGGACGCACTGGCCTGTTTTGGGCTGCCAGCCATGGTCTACTCACATACAACATCTGTCTACAAGATGATCCATGGAGACAACGTCCGTGTTTGGGTAGGGGACATCCGCCCCTTGGTCTATTCTCCCTGTTTGATCCGATGGCCACGTTCTTCTTCACTCCCCATCTTCACCCTCTGTCGCCCAAAACGGTTCTCTATGCGATTCTAGTGACTTGGTGAACTGCTGGGTATTAACCCTTCTGGAGAAAAACACTTTCAGAGTTTCAGCAAATTGTCCCTGTGGCCAAACTTACAAAGTGGCCCAGAACAGGACCTCTGACTCACTGCAGTCTAAATCAACTCTACCAGACTGGATACCAAACAGTCTCCTTCACCTCCCCAAACAGTCTCTTCAACTTCGGTTTCTTCACTGACCTCACCGTCGTCTTGACCTCACCGCTTGTTGGGCCACGAACCAAACCACCGCCGGGCGTCTGCGGGTGGCATTCCCAGCTTGGTGTAATACTTCTTTCGGATCGGCTCGAAGAAGTCAGCGATCCACTGCCTCGCTGTGAACACGCCGCCACACAACACCGCGGGACTTCGGTGGAGGACTTCGGAGGAAGGATGATGACGAGGAAGTGAACCGATGAGGAAATGACAGTGAGGTTCTCTCGGAACCGAGTGATGTGTTCAGGTGCAGTCGGTGATTGCAGTCGGTGATTTTGCGTTTTGCCATGTTTAACATGCTACTAGCAAACTTTCAGCAAATTGTATCAAAAATGAATCCCTACACCTTCAAGTACCTCCTCAGAAGCTATTTGGACCCTCCAAACCCACCCCAAACACCTTCTCAGAAGGTACTTGGAGGCCTAGGGATAATTGTGAACAAAGGCCAGAATCAGAATCAACATGTGCCGGAAATGGTTGACACAGGGTGATTATTCAGGCTCCAAATTGAAGACCAGTTTGCACAAATTGAAGAGGCCATGGCATCTCATGCCTTCTTGAGTGTAAACAGAGATGACATGGCCTATTCAATTTGCATGAGACTTTGTCATGACACGACCTTTGTCATCTCATTGAATGCCTTCTTTAGTGTAAACATTGGATGCAAAGGTCGTCGGTGATAGCTCAAGGAGCCATTCCTGTGTAAACACAGACGACACGTCAGGTTACAAGGGTCAATCGTGAAAAAGGTCAGTACTAGGGCCTTGTAGAGAGTGCCCATTACAGGGGTTTCAGGGTAGATGGCACAACCCCCAAAAGGTGGTTTATATGGACCCCCATCTACATCTTGGGGTCTGAGACCACCTACTCTGAAACCCCCTGTGACAGCCCCTTGAAGGTGAACCGGTGCGTTCATGAAAACCACTCCTTCTGCCAGAATGGTTGGGTCACTGGCACTGCGGTCTTCGCCGAGCTGCTCTTCTGCAGCTAAATCATCCGGGTCCTGACTTGGCGAGATGCCGCGGGATGCGCGTCGCGCGCGGAATCAATTAATATCCAGCACCACGGAAAGAGTGTCCATTAATAGCCCCTTAGAGGTCAAGGGGTGTCCATCAACCACACCTTGGGGGTCCAGGGTGTTTTTGTGTCAAAATGGTATATCCTGTTAAAGTTTGAACGAGCTCAAGTCAAATGCCGCTGACCTGTCCCTGTGTCACCATATCGTCCCCAAATGGGACTTGGAAAAAAGAAATGAAAAAAAGAAGTCCATGAGTCCATGGCCACCCAAAGCTGGAGAGTCTTGACCCACATCCAACATCATCCAACTATACCTGCATTTTCCATCTATGCATCTGCCTGTTCATCCCCCAACAGCCGCCAAGGTTGGCAGACATGAGTTGGAACCTGCAGGGACATATGATGAGCCCCACTCAAGTGGTGGAAAAACGAAAAAGGAAAAAAGAACACTCCCAAACTGGAGAAACTGGACCCACAAAGGGGTGGTGAATGGCACAACGACACGGGGGGGGCGGTTACCCTCCGGATTTGGTCTGAACCGATCGCAGCAGCCCAGGTGCATAGATCCGATCGCAGAGCCCAATCTCAGGGAGTCCGCCTTGTTCTCCATCCCACATGCTAATGACCTCAGCGTGACGACGGGTGAGGCGAGCCCAACCCCCCAGACCATCCGCTGGTTTGGCACCGCCGATCCCTTTTCAACCACCGGCCTGATAAATCGGCCAGTCCCATGAATGTGAGTGTGGTTGCAAGGAAACTGGGATCAGGATTTGCTTGAAAGACTGCGATCAAAAGAGCCTTCCAAGAGCTACGTACTTATGCGAGAACTCAACAGATATAGCTGCTCGTTCAGCACCTTGTTCAGTGTGGTGTCACTGTGTATTACATTACATCTGGAGGATCCAAGTCTGGAAATCATGAATGGGTGCGGGCTCTTGTGGTCAATCCTCCCTGGTCAAAACCTTTGCAGTTTCATTCTTCCGACAGCTCAAGTTCCACACCTGCACGGCTGAATGTCGATGTTGACGTCGACTGTTGATGAATAGCCCCGCACCAAATAGAGACGTTGAACAAGTCTCTATAAGGGGGGGCTAGTAATCAATGGTCAACCGCTCTCTTGTGCTTATACGGCCTGGTTCTTCCAACGATGCAAAAGTTATGCCAACCTTGGCTATCCTTGGCAGATTAAAAGACATAACTTTTGCACAGTTTGGAAGATACGGGTATATACATGCAAATGTACATGTATCATCCAAGGAGCTGTACCCAACTCACAGGAAACAAAAATTAACATAACATCATTAAAACGCTCCCTCTGTGAATGGTAGAGTCATGACTCAAATGACTGGCATATCATGACTGACTCTCGTTCGGAGGGCATGCCATGGATCCTGCCATGGATCCTTCAGGTCTTTCCCGGGGTGACTTGGATCGTCGGAATCCTTGGGAGGAAGCCCTGCACATGTGCCACTTGACCAATTCCGTGCCTTCAAGGCCGTGTTTTTCAATGGTTGACCTATGTTGACCTGGTTTTGTAGTACAAAATATCCTTATAGCAAAATAATGCAACACAATACAGTGTTTTTCCATTGTGTGTTGATTCTATTTTTCGGTAACCAGTAAAGGCTAGTAAATCCATGGTGGTTCGAAGCCTGCATACACTCATGGTCGACCCTGTTGTGTTTGGTTGCAGCTCCAACAAAATACACCCTACAAGTTCAGTCTGACCCCGGTTTTGTATCTGCTTGAGTAGTATGACATAAGTATGATATTGTATGACCATCTCCAGTGAGGTCAGTTCCAGACCAGGGACCAAACCTGTTCCCATTCTCCAGATCCCCGTCCGGGCCCACTCCAAGCCCCCACTCCCTCCTCCCAAGCGGCGTAGTCCGTGCCAACGACCTTGCGATCTTGACGATGCTCAAAATCGCCCAAGGAGACGCATTGCAAGGTCTTGGCCTCGCCGCACGGGTCCGAGGCGCCGACGGCACGATCCACGGGTTTCGAGCCGCGGCTCGGGGCGCCGACGCCTTCCGCGATCCGCGGGGGGTTGGGGAGGTTGGTCGGGTTGGTCCTCAGAGATCAGGTGGTTCCGCATCTGGAAGCGAACATCATCTGAACGGCGGAGGCTATTTCAGGTGGGGTGCTTGGGGGAATTTTCAAGTGTGCCGAAACAAACCAACTAACTGGTGCATGTGACGATGTGTGTTTGACATGTGACGATGTGCATGTCTGGCTGCATGTCCGTGACCACAGTAACCATACATCTCTGATCCCCCAAGACACGCAGTTCACGTCGTTTCGATCCTCAGGACCCCGGCGGATGCTCCGAAGACATGCAAGACATCCGGGTCCTGGCCGTTTCTGGGCGGTGTGGAGGTGGTGTGGAGGTGGTGCGAAGGTGGAGGTGCCAAAGGTGGGAAGGTGGTAGGAACCTTGGGAAGGTGGGAAGGTGCGTCTTGGGGAGTGTTTTGGGGGGGTGTTTTGTGAGTGGGAAGCAACACCAAGTTAGCCAACCTGTCACCCAACCTGTCGATGGAACGGCATGAGTGGTTGTCGTTGGATGGCGGAAGTTGAGTTGATGAAGGACTAAACACCAAAGGCGATCCATTTACCGCAGCAACTTGGCCCATGAGTGTAGCTGGTACAAGCAACTATATTTGAATTCCCCTCATCGATCTTAATTTCTTCTCACTCTATTGACCATGCTGGTGGCATTTGCTGGTGAGTCACTCAGGGGTAGATCCAGTAGCTCCATGCTTTGAACATGACGAAGATGAGATGCATTGGCCTTACACATCTGTTGCACGTCCATCTGTAAGGTAAAGTATAACTACATCCGCGAATGGATCCGTGATGGCATCATGGCACAAAAAAAGACGCTTCGACGTGGACCATGGAAGAGTGTCAGACACTCACCAAGTCAGTGGAGACCAATGATGTCATGGGGTCACGGTGGCAACACTGGTGGCAACATATATTCCTATTGGTATATTGATTATATTGGTTGTAGGCCTGGGTACCCATCAACCAATGTAGGTCAGGCCATCTAGAACTCCAGCGGTGCAACAGATGGTGGTTCCAGCTTCACAGTGTGGGAACTTTAGGCACCAGGGCGGGTTCACCGCAGTGTCGCTGACTGTCACGTTGGCACCCTTGAAACATTCTGAAGCAGACTTATCTGTTGATAGTGTTCACTCAAGCATTGGCTTTGGGGATGCGCATCCCAAACCCAGCTGGTTTGAGGAAACAACACGCCGCGTGGCTGAAGACATCTCCTCTTCCAACAACTAGTCGCCTCCCATGCTTCGTCCACCATGTCCCTCGTGGAATCACAACGAGCCCGGCTCACCACCGTCCTCCTCAGTTCGGTCCCAACCGTGTCTCACGCGCCCTCGCCCTCCCGGGTCCCACGAACGCGTCGACCACGAGCCCTCCCACCGGTTTCTCCTGTGCCGCACGCTCGTCCAAGGCTTGCATCTGTTGTCCTTCCACTCGGAAGACCAAACTCTGCAGGTTCACCTGGACTCCGCGGTCCACGGGCGACAGACCATGACAGGTATTTCTACCAGGTAGCCAGTTCCAACGGGGGTCACCAGCTTGGTACGGTGACGGGACTTGGTTCGAGACCGGATCCCAATGGAATCAATCAAGGGTCCAGGGTATAGGTCAGGCCAAGTATGGCCGGAAGCCATGAAGAGCCCGGGTCAGATGCACAGCCAAATGAGTACAATCGAGTGGTAGAAAAGAGTGCCTTCCTCTTCTGCTGGTTCGTTGCCAAGGGAATTTGCGTTTCAATTGTTGTCGTTCCTATCGCATGTAGAGTAGAGTAGGCACATGTAGAGTAGGGCTGCACATGCTTTCAAATGGCTCACCCAGTTTCAACTCTGATTTGTTAGCATGAGTATCCCACCCCTCCTAGTTGGTTCGAAACAGTCCCGAGTTGCTTGGATACGAGGCACCTCTCAAAACAAACCCACAGACCCACGGGTGCGAGATGCTGGTGTCTGTGGTTTACGCAACTGAGTTCCGGCCCCATGATGTTTGAGCTCCACCTATCTAATTCCCCAACACGACTAATGGGACTGCCATATGTGCTACATTGGGGTGGTTTTGGGGGGTCAATGTATAGGCATATATGGCAGTCCCATGAAGTGTCTGGGATTAACATCTCCTATCTACTTTCGACTATCTGCTATCATGCTATCTACGATTATCTACTCCCAAAAAATCATGATCTCCAGGTCCAAGTAACCCTGCCATGGGAGGTTTCTGCCACTGTTCATCTGCCTACAGTCCCATGCCACCATTCAACATTTCTATTCACCTTGACGGGCTGCTAAAACATCCGAGCTCATACTCTGAGCCGCTTGCCTTAATCATCAGTGGCCCATCACGGTCCTTTCAGTGGCCCGCTCGTCACGCCCAACCCACTCCCCACGACCGACTACCACGGCGCCTCGGCCGCGGGCATGGTATCGCCGAAGGTGCCGGCCATCGGTAGTCGTCCGTCCACGCTGCTCAGCGTCTGGGTCATGGCCACATAACGTCCTGGAGAGGCCGGAGGCGTTCTGGTGAGGCTCTGAGTCCGAAGGCCTTCTTTCTGACGCTTCAAGCCTTACGGTGGAGCGCCTCCAAAGGTGATCATCCAAAAGGTGTGATTCGATTAGAAGGAATGTGTGTGACTAAGAGAAACTGAGTGTTATGAAACAGACATCTTGGTGTCCATCTTCGGCACCAAGAAAGTCAAAACCCAACCAAAAAGCCCACCCTCTTCGTTGACTTTCCTTCATTTTCCTTCCACCCCAGGTGGCCCACCATCAGAAACGACGACCCGAAAGGACTCCTCCTTCCCACCTTCCCTATACCCGGACGGACCCCCGCGCGCCTGGTGTTTCTCCTCGCCCCGCGACCCGGCGCTCGTCCCGCGAGGTGCCGAAACCTCGTCGCTCGCTCCTCGGTTGGAGGTTTCAGGCCAGATCGCCCAGGCGGGAGGCCCCTGTTCGATGCCCGTGGCAGTGCGCAGCACCGCGTCCAGCACGCGGCAGGCGTCCGCATAGGGCGCCTGCGGAGGTGCGTGGGTTCATACGGATGCTGTATAGGTACGTTTTTAGGATGGGAAGCACGAGGAGCAGGGGGGAGAGAGGATGGGAGAGAAATTGGGGAAGGTGCAGAGGTGGTGCTGTTGGAGGGGAAAGAACTGGAAATCTAAAATATCTGACTGAAATCTCGCTCTGGACTCTGCTCCCTAATGAACAGCTGTTTTACTGCACCAAAAATGCCTTCAACTTCCAAACAAAAACACCACACGGATAGCTCTCCACCGCTCCGTTTGGAGCGCGGAGAGCTAGATGTGTGAGCACCCTGCTGCTGTTGCCTGTTCCAGCCAGGCGATGAGCTCGAGGCGTTTCTCGAAAATCACTTCAAAGAGCTCCGGCTCGGGCATTCCCAAGGTGTCCTCGCCAGGCGTCCCAAGCAGTCGGAGTCCCGGTCAACAAGACGATGAAAAGGAAGAAAAATGGAAGGCCTGGTAGTGGATGGATTGACTACCAGGTGGAGTAGTTCATGAGTCAAGTCACGGAAGTTCTGGGTATAGCGCTCAAAAAAGAAAAGCCACCCGAAGATGGCGGGAGGATGGTGGATTTTGATATGTTTGCGGCCTCTCATCGGGTCCTCAAATTGAGGGCAGCAGCAAGCTATGAGGTCATTGATCACCCAAGTAGCATGTAGAATATGAGAACACAGTGGACCAAAGCCTGCTTCGAAAGGCAAGTTAAGGTTACGTAACCTTGGATCCTTTTCAAAGAATCCTTGCAGTGAGAGACCCCCTTTTGTTCAAACCTCTTCTCTAGAGCTGCATCTTTGATCGTTTTTTCCACCGAGTCAACTCGGTGACGTCGCTCAGAAACTCCCAAACTGATCAGAGGAGAAGAAACCCCGATCAGTCACACACCGCTATACTTAGCTGGGAGTCCCAGTGGTTTCAGTTCGACTAACAGCATCGACTTAGAAACCCAGGTTCCTTATATGGTGTTAACATGTGTTAACTGGGATTTGGGTTCCCCAGTTGACTGTGGATATGCACACTTGGAATAAGCTTGATTTAGAGTTCAATTCTCAACCTTTCGCTATTTTAAGGTGCTGATCGCCAATCAATCACCCCTGTGGCAAGCGCTGGCAAGATCGTTGCACCAATCTTCAAGTCTTCCACTTGGACTCCCTGAAGGAATCATAGCACGACTTGGAGTGAAAAACATGAGACCCGATTTTCACTTCAGGGGCAGTGGTTCTCGTCTTCCACGTTGGCCCGGGAGTATACCCCTGACTGTGGCAGTCAGGACCCTTCGTGGCTGGCGTCACGTCTGGGACCGGCGAGCCGGTCCACCCCGGCGGCCCCGGTGGACAGCGAAAGCAAGAAACGTTCCAGCACCACCCAAAAGGCTATTATCGTTATTTTTATGGAAAATGCCTCGACCTGGGGGGTCTATAAACCACCCGACCTGGGTGCTGGTTCAGAAGCTCCTCATTCCAGGTGTGCCGTGAGGTCAAGAAGACGAAGGAACACAAGAGCTGCTCCACCAATTCGGTCGTCAGCTCCTGCCGTTGGCCACGAAGAGGCCCCCGTGGCCGCCCCAAATGCTTGCGCAGAAAAGGAGAGAGAAACTCCATGTTTGAGTGGGAGGGAGCAGTTGATGAACAAAAACATTCAAGGCGCTTTTCTCTGCAAGATCTGATTCTTCTTTCAGAATCGCAACGAAAAGAAAACCGCCACACGATATCGTCACGCGGATGGCACATGATGGCACCATGGCACCTAGCTGGTTGTAAAGCAAAATGGTCATCCAAGGGGGGCCTGTTTTCATACATATATATATATATGTTCCGCTTCATTATCAGTGAGTCAGAGTGCATTATGAATGTGAGTCAATCCACAGATTGAGAGCACCCGCCCCAGGAGCTGCAGGATGAGCTGTTGATGAATCGAAGAAGAAAGAGGGACCACGTGCACCAGTCTTCGGCACCAAACTGAACTTATCAACATCCAAACAGACATTCCATGGGATATGTTATAATGCTATTTATATATATATATATACATAACATTACATAACCCAGTAGATCCCAGTGA